TAGTTGTCTGTAATTGAAATGAAATTTTCTTTTAGATGGCGCGATGCTAATATCATCGATTTATTCAACGCTTTACGTTACCCGGGTTTTATTAAAATGGTGTCGCAAAATTGTAGAATAGGCTTTGAAGAAGTTAGGAAATTTATTTACTTACATTCACAAGTCAATCAACTTCAAAAATTAATACGTGAACTGAAGATATCTGATATAAAGCGAGCACAGGCAGGTCTGCAAGCTTACAATGTGAACCGAGATGGTAGTTTGGTGAATGAACTTGTTTTCCATCGAAGTACGGGCCCGAGCGTTTTGTCCAAAAAAGTTATACACTGCCGAAATGTTCCCTCACCTGGAGCTACGAATAGTTTAGCAATTGCAAAAAGGATAGCTGACACGATTGAAATTGAGCTTGACATCGGCAACAAATGGTGCAGCAACAGCACGCAGACCATTTTGTAACAGCTTTACCTTATAAAAAATTCGATGCTCGATTAGTTTTGTTAACACGAGAGTGTATCGTTGTACTGAAGACAATAAATTTAACGCACACCAGTATTGACGAGTATTAATTAATTAGACATGTGAGGCTTTTACTAATTAAAAGCAATGTTATAATAAATATTTAAACATATTAAACATATTAATATCAGGAGATCTATGAAGAGAATTTCAGCTTAAGAGATCGCTCACTTTTTCATATAAACCACTAAACATTATAGGAGCTTTTTCGATAATTAAATGTTTATTAATAATTATTTCTTAACCGAAAATGTCATTTGAAAAGAGGAGTTCGTGGTATGCGCTTTTCGTAATGTGAAAATGGTAATTGCGGGAAAAAGGTTGCAGATTTCGCGGTCGATTGCTTAAAAAAGATAGATCTGTAATTAATAGAGTTGTGAGAATGAGTAATATGCGCTATATGGAGGCTGGCGTCTTGCGATCATCCACCAGTCATATAACGCCTTGTTTTGAAAGGTCATTATATGAAAATTTATTGCAGTTTCCAGAATTTCATGAAAACTTCGCTGACTAGTATTATTTCGGCATAGCAAATTGGTACGAAAAATACGGATCGGATGCGGCAATTTCGGGCACCCTATCTTGTAATCGTTCCTTCGAAAGTTGAATCTTTATTCGATAAAAGTAATTTTCAATAATTTCTTGGTGAAAATTGCGTAACAATAATTTGAAATAAAAATTAGCCGTACAGAATTTGGACCGCGCAATCCTCTTGTTTGAATCCCAGCTCGTATAAGAGCGCTAATGAAAAGTATGCCTTTATATTGCAAAAATATCCACTTTTTGTTGGTTTTATGATGAAAATTGTTTCGTAAGAGTAGACCGATGTGAAGGTTAAGTGTTCCAAGTTTGGATTAAATAGGTCTATTGTTTGGATTTAATGGCTTACGAAAATTATTATGATATATTAAAGACTTTTTAGATGAAAAAGGCCTAATTTTTTATGTCTTGCGATGATAGTTAGTCCATGGTAAATTAACTGTAATGAGTTGGGCCCACATTGTTCTAATTCCTAGACCCCACCACACACAGGCGCCTTCTGTGGCTTTTTATGGTGGAAGCAGTTGAAAAATAGTAAATCTTTGACAAAAAATTAAATTCGTTAAATTTGGGCCACACCATTTGAATTTTTCAGCATTTTCCTCTGCAAAAAAATTTGTAGTTTTTAATTACGAAAATGAATGATTGACTGTACCACCCAAAATGGTGTAAGATAGCATAAAAATACGAAGCGTCTCTTTAATTTGATTTGATTTATTGTTTAAAAATGAATTTAATCCGCCAACATCGTCCTTCGCCTCTTTCGTTAGGATGCATTGCTTCAGGCATAGTATATATAAGTTTGGTGTCTGCTGATTGTAAGACCTGGCTTTGACTCCATCCACTGCAACTCACAGAAGCAAAGCGAGAACTGTCGCATTCTTTCATATATACTTACTTACTTATTTTTGATTTCAAATATTTCTTATTTTATCGTATATAATTGGATGGGTGTGATTAATGAAAGGACGTTTTAAATATACATTGTTTAGCTAAAAGAAACATTAATTAAATTATAATAACTTTCTTTTTCTTATGTTAAAAATTAAATTTTTTTTAAATAATTAATTGAACTCTGTATAATTTAGGAATATATTGAAAAATTAAGGAACATGAAGGGCTATTTATTCTTTTGATTTTATGCCTTTTTTCTCTTTTCTTTATGTATATGCGCAGACCAAAGAAACTTCAGTTTATAATTGTAAAAACATATAAAATAACTCTTTAGTTTAGCAAAAGTTTATGTATATACTAATAATCAGTTATTTATTGTTGCAATTATTTTGAGATCTAATTATGTGCAAAACAGAGGAATTTCACAATATTTGATATAACATATGATAGGATCTTGTTTATCGAGTTCTGCGTTTCGTCCTAAAAATTGTTTTAAAATGAGGTTAATACCACTGAGGGGAAATACCACTTGCTAGCGATAAGTTGAATATATCGGTCAGCGCCCGAACAATGTTCTCGCAGGAATTCATGAGCATGCAGGAAGATATTATATGTTGTCTGAACCTGAGGAGTAAGAACCCTTTAAGGGCACTAAGCCACATCGAATTCTTGATTTGGATAAAATTTCGTTAAAGAAAACATTACATTACATGACCGAGTGAAACAGCTTTGCTCCGACTGCGCAAAGACGCTGTTAGAGAACAATTTCGCAACAAATTCTGAAAAGACAAAGCTTAGTTTTTTTTTTGCATTCACCAATGCATCAACATTTTTCCGATTCCTGCTGAAGTTGACACTCATTCGTTGTAAGCAGGATGAGTAGCATGTTCTTCTCATTAACATGAACTTGTTTCTCGCAATGATATAGAATGACACATCTGTCAGGGAGTGCAAGACTTTTGTTAGAGCAAACTGCCACTTGCGTAATTTTCAACTTACTGTATATGGCTTTCCAGATATCTTGAGTAAATTCTCCTTTTCTTACCCTTCTTTCTTCTGAAAGCCCATGTACAATGTATCACTAACAATGGCACATTATGTAGAGAGATGATAGTTTAATTTGGAGCTCCACAGTGCACATGATCCCCTTCTCTTCCTTCTACTGATAAACGATTTGCCGTTTGTGATTGAATACTCACATGCCTTAATGTATGCTGATGATGTAAAACTGTTCCTACCATTTGATACAGATCCAGATCACCTAAAGCAAGATTTAGAAGCTCTAGTGGTTTGGAGTAAAGTAAGTTCGTTGTCTATTAGCCCAAGTAAATGTAAGAAATTTTCGCGGATAACGTACACCATTCTTGGGGAGACCACAGAGAACATGTTTCATATTTTACCATCTTTGGTGCTGTTTGTAATCCCATACTACGTTTCCATCTAGATATACTTTCGATTGTTAACGAAGTTCGATATGCTCTGAGATTTACTATGAGATGTCCTCATGAATTTGATAACGCTTACATAAGGACAAACTTATTCATGGCACTGAGTACTCCAAGTCTAGAATACGCGTCAATACTGCTGCGAACGTGATACTATCTGACATCCAAAATCCATTATATCTTCATCATCGTTCTATCGCTCTAAATATGAACTTCTTAATCCCTTTCATGTTGCTTGTAAAAACCCTACTGCTTATTATCACTTATTCTCCTTTTTTGATTCGGTTACTCGAACCAAAATGGTAGTAATCAACTCATCATAATGAAAATTAAACCAGGTTCAATAATGTATCATAAAACATCTATTGAATATTATGAATAAATAAATATGTTTCGATATCTTAGGACATATTGTAAAGTTCACTAAAAATAATTATTTGCTTAATTTAGATGAAATGGAAAAATGAATGCTTAAAAGAAAACGATATTCTAACTTTAAAGTTATGCATAAATCTAAATCAACTTTGTAATGTTAAGTAATATCAATTGTTGTCGATTGTTGTCAATATTATTTATTTATTTATTTTAATTCTACTTACACATGAACCTCAACTAAACAAATAACAGTGGGATTCAATTGGCACTTAAAGCGAAACTTATATTAATTAATAATAAAACTTTGTATAAGTACAATAAAACAAATAAGACGGAAAAAAAAGAAAAAAGAGCATGTACACAACCAGCATAGAGCCACACTTACAACCGGTACAGGACCAAATTGCAAATGAGGCCCTAAACCATCGCAAACATGCATAAGCCTGGCAACCGATAATAGTTAACAACAACTCATTTTCGAATCGTAACGACTTTTTAAGGTTAGAAGCCATTTTAAATACGACATAGGTAAATCGAGGGTATTAAGCAATGTTGCTTTAATGCACTTTAAAGATAATGAGAATAAGTGATAGACGTCATTTAGGTTCTTGCAAACAACTCTGAGCGCATTAAACAGCTCATAATTATATTTACACTGACTATGCTTAACCAAGATAAAATGCGTAGAGAAGTAAAGCTTATTTCACCTAGTAATGAAGGCGAGTCAATAGACCCATTTATTACTTTGATTACAAAGGAAACGCCAAGAACAAACCTAAGAGACGATAAGGACAGCAGAAGCAATCTATTTTCATAGGAAGGAAGAGTGGCAATCGTATCCCAACCCAAATTTCTAAGGGCAAACAGAAAGAATTGCTTTTGAACAGATTCAATTGAATCTACATAGCACCTATATGAAGGAGATCACACAACAGAGCCATACTCGAGTATGGGTCTAACCAAACACATGTACAGCGTTTTCGTAATGTAGGGATCATCGAGCTCTTTGGACCACGCGTATAAAACGATAAGAAAAATTTAAGCAATAGAACAATCAAAACTGTACGATCTCGCGCGCGTCAGTTGCAGACTGACTACAAAGACTAATTCTGCTGATGTTTGCAGTTGAATTGAAAACTGACTAAATTAAATTAAATCCAGTTAAACTAAACGTCAGAGAAGAAGGCTTTTTCATATTTGCTAACATTTTCATCTCTAATTTGTTTTTAGGTTCATATTTTTGCTATGATAATCCCGGTGCTTTGCAAGAAGTGTTTAAAGATGAATTAAACATCACTACGACGCAGTTCACATTAATTTATTCAATATATTCATGGCCTAATATTGTGCTATGTTTCTTGGGGGGGTTCCTACTAGATCGCGTGTTTGGTGTACGTTTAGGCACCAATATTTATTTGGTTATTTTGCTTGCCGGACAATTAGTCTTTGCTGGCGGAGGCATTCTGGGTACCTTTTGGCTTATGATAGTTGGCCGTTTTATATTTGGCATCGGCGCAGAGTCTCTAGCGGTCGCTCAAAACAATTATGCCGTGCTATGGTTCAAAGGTAAAGAACTTAATATGGTATTCGGTCTGCAATTGTCGGTAGCACGTTTGGGTAGCACCGTAAATTTCTGGGTTATGCAGCCCATATACGATTACGTGAAACAATATTATCCGGATAATGCGATCGGCATTGTGATGCTTCTGGCAGCCAGCACTTGTGTGTTCTCCCTATTATGCGCTCTCATACTAGGTAAGCGCGTAAAAATTGTGTATAAAACTTTAAATTTCAAATAATATAAATCACCTCTAAGGATGGATGGATAAACGAGCCGAACGCATATTGCGCCGCGATATTAACTCTAAAGGCGAAGTTGCTAAGCTAAGTGATATCACTACATTTAAAATAACATTCTGGATGGTATCTGTAATTTGTGTAGCCTACTATGTCAGCATTTTTCCCTTTATAGCGTTGGGCAAGTAAGCTGGAATGCTGGAATGGATCTAGCCTATAAAGTTTATATTTCATATTTTTCGATATTTTTTAGAGGTTTTTTTATGGAAAAATTCAATTTGCCGCCCGAGGAAGCCAACAACGTCAACTCCATTCTATATTTGATATCCGCCGTTGCATCTCCTTTATTTGGTTTTATTATTGACAAAACCGGTCATAACGTGGATTGGATATTTCTAGCCGTCTCCTCGACTATGGGCGCTCATTCGCTATTGACCTTCACAATGGTAAATCCCTATGTGGGTATGGTTATCATGGGCCTCTCTTACTCGGTACTGGCCTCCAGTCTATGGCCTTTAGTAGCTTTAATTGTACCGGAATATCAACTAGGCACTGCTTATGGATTGTAAGTATAAAATATCATTTTAATCCTTACTTTCCCATTATTTTCTTCTTATTCATGTTAGTTGCCAATCAATACAAAATTTAGGCTTAGCAATTGTAACAATATTGTCTGGCTTAATTGTCGATAAAAGCCATGGCGATTATGTATGGTTGGAAGTATTTTATTTAGGCTGGCTCACGGGTAAGTATGATCAATTTATAATATATATTTTGAGTTTCCATCTAACACATATTCCCAATATTTAGTTGCTTTTGTCGCCAATACTGTAATTTATGTTTACGATCGGAAAACCAAAGGAAACCTTAACAGGGCACCTACTAAAACATAATAACATGTTCCAATGTGTAAAGGTTTAATAACTATATACATAATGTAAATATATAGTTTTCGATAAACTTAACACTTGTCTTTTCCTGCTTAACATCACCTGCAAAATTAAAATTGGGTTGTCTTGAAATCTTCTTTAGAAGTAAATTTGCAATTCTTTAGTTTCTTAAATATTGTGAGACAAGCGCGTCACGTCATTAAAGAACTACGGGTGTTTTGTGCTATTTTCCGAATCGATTTCAGTAGATCTGCTAACCTATTTCCCCGTACAATTTGTGCCGGCGTCAGAGTCGAACGTTATTTAAAATGGGTTGTCAAATGGGCCACCTTTACGATATATTTTATTGTCGCAGTTTTTGTTATAAGCGTCATCATTTGATACTTCACAAGCAAGTGCTTTGTCAGCCACTTTCTTTTGAACACCTGTGTCATTATTATTGAAATTTGGCCCGTAAGAGATAATATTCGCAAATGGGTATAGGCCTGGAATACGAATGAAAGCTTACGACGCTTCGCACAAATCGCAACCCTTTAAGAAGAATTCAAAATTTCAATGCTTAATATGTCGCGGCATTACCTAAATGTTCATTTGTAAAATCTACATTAGCAGGCGTGCAAATTGCGCATAACTAAAAAATGCAGTGGCGACTATGATTCGCAGTTCCGCTATCCTTTTATCACATCTCTTTCGACGCATCTCTGGGGAGCGTCTTTTTAGATTGAAATGTGCGCTTTTTCTTGGAAGTAGATAAATATATTGATTGTACGAATTTAGTCATTTAACCATTCATATCGTACAAGGTGTTTTAAGATTGTTGTTCAATCAAACCCTGCCATACCGGTTCAGAGCTAAGACTGTTCTCGAAGAAATCGGTAAAAAATACGATTCGATAAACCGATAAAAAACGAGGGTGGAATTTATGTGTATACTTTTTTATAAAAATAAGCCTTTAAATAAGAACATTGCGCACAGCAACGTATGGTGTATAATAGCTGGGCTGGGACGACTATAATGTTTTTGCTCGATATGCCCTCACGACGTTAAATTTGTGAAAACGATTCACCTTTCATTGTACGGAACGATTCTGAACCGTCTTACGAATCAATTTGAATTTGTCGAACCTTCCGCTCATTAATATACTCGTCTAATAACTTGATCAACTTATAAATCCCAAGTTTTAATATAAAATGACATAATTTGACGTGTTTTAGATTGGATTTGATTAAATCAGACCATTATTACTACCACGTCTTCCATTTTGAAAAAAGTTTATATATGAAAATATTTCTCGACCCAAGTTGGTACAAAAATAATATATTGTCATTCAAAATAAATGTGTATAAGTTGAATAAAAGTGGCATGTTTTTGGACAAACTTCAAAGTAGAAGTTCTTACAAAAGATAAAGTTTCGTATGGCAATAACGCGGAATTTGTAGAGCTTTATAATGAAAATTTATTCAATGTTGCTGTTTGACATATAAATCTAGGGTTTGACCGCAAAGGACTCCTTCCCACAATAAGTGTATGGCTATTCCACGACGAAAATACGTGAAGAAAAATAAAATTTTGATAAAAAAATTAACTTGTATTTAGATTACGTCTTTACTTCCAACATTTGCTAGCAAACACCTGGAGGCGGCTTTCCCGAAAGTAGAGATGGGCGAGGCTTTCCGGCAACCCTTCGAAATCTTCTACGCGGCTATGAGGCAACATATGGTGAGCGGGACATTCGCAAGCGCATGCAGGCAACGGTGACATATCGGGTTGATTTCTTCACGGCAGTAGGTTCCTGTAGCAGCGCTGAAAATCATAGAACAAATCTGCTCCGGTACATAATAAAATTTCTGCTAACCGGGAGAAATTGGGGAGAGCCACCGGTCCGCAGTGTGTCGGCATTCTAAGCAAATCAGAGGCAATTCAAATACAATGAAAATGTATTAATAAATTTCTTACATACATCCTTATTTTTTACTTTAGATTGAAGAGTCCGCCCGAAATAAAAATAAGGAGAATCGGGCTTCAAAAACCGCAAATAACGGGTAATTCAAATATAACGAAAATGTATTAATAAATTTCTTAGTTACATCCCTATTTTTATTTAAGTTTAGATAAAAAGACAAGTATAAGCCGTTCTAATGCGCCCCCAAATAAATGCTGCCCGTGACCGCCTCATTGCTTTTTCGTCCAGAGGTAATTAAAATGCTACAAACTTATTATTATTATTCTATTTTGGATTATAATAAAAATCAAGGCCAACTCGCTCCACTCCTCGCCTCATATAGATGAAGATTCGCTGCATGCCAAAGGTAACTTTGCATTTACCCTTTCTTATGTATAACTTGTTCGTTTCTTTTTATTTCATTTTAGATTAAAAAAACAAGCATACACCTGCACTATTACTTCAGCGGAATGCAACCTTCCGCAGGCCAAAGGATAACGGTGTTTTTAATTTTTTCGAAGGACGTTGTTTGTTTCGCTTCTTTTCTTTTTTTTTTTTACGAAAATTGTGCCGGTGACCCATCTTACATTGAAATACGTTAAAGGCGTATTCTGGCGGTGTCATCGGTCACTATTCATAAGAAAAGATTATGTTGTTTTTGCAACAAGCGGAAGTTTATGCCAACAAAATATAATTTGTGTGAAGCATTATTTTTGCTGTTTAATTTATTTATCTATTTATTTATTTATTCTACTTATACTAGAAACTCAACTAAACAAATAACAGTCGAGTTCAATAGGCTCTTAATGCAAAACTAATATTAATTAATAATAAAATTGAGTATAAGCATAATAAAACAAATAAGAAGAAAAAAAAAAAAAGAAAACAGAAAAAAAAGCATGTACACTATCAGCATAGGAGCACACTTACAACCGGTACAGGACCAAATTGCAAATGAACCCCTAAGCCATCGCAAACATGCATAAGCCTGGCAACCGATAATAAATTGTCAATAATTCACTTTCGAAACGTAACGACTTTTTAAGGATAAAAGCTAGTTTAAATACGACATAGCTAAATCGCGCGTATTAAGCAATGTTGCTTTAATGGACTTAAAAGAGTCCGATAACGAGAATAAGTGGTAGACGTCATTTAGGTTCTTGCAAACGACTCTGAGCGGATTGAACAGCTCATAATTAAACTTACACTGACTAAGCTTAGCCAAGATAAAGTGCCTGGAGAAGCGGTTAGGGACATTAAAGCTTATTTCACCAAGTAATGAAGGCGAGTCAATGGCACCATTTATTACTTTAATTAGAAAGGAAACGCCAAGAACAAATCTACGTTTCTCAAGAGACGGTAGGGACAGCAGAAGCAACCTATTTTCATACGGAGGAAGAGAGGCAATCGGATCCCAACCAAAATTTCTAAGGGCAAACAGCAAGAATTGCTTTTGAACAGATTCAATTGAATCTACGTGGCACCTATATGAAGGAGACCACACAACAGAGCCATACTCGAGTACGGGTCTAACCAAACACATGTAAAGCCTTTTCGTAATGTAGGGATCATCAAGCTCTTTGGACCACCTTTTTATAAAACCAAGCGCGGGCCTAGCTTTGCTTATCGAGAGCTCAATATGCGAGTTAAAACGTAACCTACGGTCAAATATAACGCCTAAATCTGTGATCGAATCGACGTGCTCCAACTTATGCGAACCTATGAAATACTGAGTAATGAATGACTTTCTTCTTGAGAAAGAAAGCTTCTTACATTTACTCAGATTTAGTTTCAGATGATTCAAAGAGCACCATGCAACAACATTATCCAAGTCACCTTGCAGCTGATGTGATTACGATTCAACAGCGAAGGAGGAAAACAGTTTCACACCATCCGCATACATTAAGATCTGGCTGGTATTAACCACCGATGGAAGATTGTTAACGTATAAATTAAATAAAATGGGACCTAAGTGACTTCCTTGAGGTACGCCAGATATAACGGGGAATTCATCCGAGGTGATAAAGTTGAACAAACCCCTGAAGGATCTATTGTGCAGATAAGAGCTTATCCATTTCACTAAGTAGGGTGGGAAACCAGAGGCTTGGAGTTTAAAGATAAGTAGTCTATGGTTAACCATATCAAATGCTTTGCTTAAATCAGTGTAAATAACATCTGTGCGAGAGCCACTAGAAAAAGCCTTGAAAACTTGACAGGTAAACTCTAACAAGTTGGTGACTGTAGATCGCCCTTTCCGAAAGCCGTGCTGGTGCGGAGAAATATACGAATTAATGGCAAAGGACAAACGCTGAGTCACGATACGTTCGAACAACTTGGCCAAGACACTCAACTTGGCTATGCCTCTGTAGTTCTCAACAAATTGGCTACTTCCACTCTTGTAGATAGGAATAAGGAAACTACTCTTCCAACATGAAGGGAAAACACCTAAATACAAGGACACGTTAAAAATCTTTGAGATCACACCACATAACTCGACAGCGCAAGATTTAAGTACACATGATGGAATTCCATCAGATCCAGTCGAACAACTGTATTTTAGAGAACTCAACCCTTTAAAAATGTCATCTTCCGAAATAACCAAGTTAGGTATTGAATCCGAGTTAGTTATAGGACATGGGTAGTTTGCTGATAAATCGAAATTAGCAATCGAAAAGTTACGTCGGAAATACTCAGCAAATAGATTTGAGATTTCAAAATCAACCGAGGAATCAGAGCCATTAAAAGAAACGTGAGAGGGATATGTGGAAATTTTTCTTTTAAAGTTAACAAATTTAAAGAAGAATTTAGGATTAGCAAACAGAGAGAATTTGAAGGTAGAAGACGCTGAATGGAAAATGCACTTCGATAATACTTGATATGAAAAATCCATTATGCAAACCATGTGAACTATTTGCAATGACATTCAAAACTGCATACTCATGACTAAGGTTAAACAAGATGGCGTGCATTATGGATTGCTCCAACGCCAAGGAACGTTACCAACAACATGCAACATCTCAGGCATAGCGTGTTGATCATTGCACACAAGGTTGAAGAAAATATCTGTGTGCATGATTGACATGAAAAATGTCATTAAATATTGGACCATTTACAATGCCTCCTTGAAGAGATTAAATAATTTAAAGTTTTATAACACTTCGATCATCTGAAGTTTACTTTGCTTTTCCTAAATTCTATGTTGGACAAGAATACAATCTTTTTCTTTGTTTGTCGTGTAAAGGATACAAACAATTTGTACAAAAAGATATCTAAACGTGTACGTTGATATTTTAAGGAACTAAGGAATAAGGAAGCATATCGGCTATCTCTAGATATGCATGAATTTTGACATTCCGAATACTCCATATTAGTAGATTATCTGATATATAGAATCCACAATTTAGGTGTCATAAATGTGCGTCATTCCATAGTTTTTTTAAACCGCCTTCTGTTGAAAAATGTGATGGAAATTGAACATTACGCATAAATTGCTTCAAGCTGCAAGCTTTTGAATCGTAAATTTAATAAAAACTATTTAATTATCTGAGTTAAAACTGAAATCCGATTTATTTGTTTAGTTAATCCGTTTGAGTCCCAGACGGTATTGAAAAACGTCTGGGTTTTCTCGACATAAAATCTTGGGACTCAAACGGTTAAATATGTTTATAAATATGTGTATGTATTTTAAATTTTATTTACAGCTATATGCCGCTAGTTAGATCAAATATGCGCTTCGATCCAATATTTTATCGCGATCCCGTGTCAAATTTGCGCAAGAAATATCGACAAATTGAGTTGGTTGGCAGCTAGTATTCTATTAATTCAAGCTACTATTAAATTTCCCAACATGCAACATACCCAAATAAGTAAATTAAAAAGATTAATAATATTAGTTGAAATATCTGTATATAATATACTATTAGTTTTTTAAGAAGAAAAAATCTGAACTGATCATAAGTTGGAAGAGAGAAACGTATTTTATAAACTTTAAAAAGTTCGTTTCAAAAAAGTTTAGATGAAGACGTGAAAGTAGCAGACGTTGCTAGAACAAGATACGCTAAGTCTTTTGTACCAATACACTAGCGTTTTTAATGAACAAAACAAACAAATTACATTTTTTTTTGGAAGAATACAATTCATGAACATAATTACTAATATGAAAATGATTTATTTTTTGTTTTGGAACTTAGAATGACTTGCAAACCTGTAACTCAACAATAAATATACCTTTCTTTGCTACATATGTACTTTGTGCGAAAGAAATTTTTTTTAAGCTTCTTAATCTAGATGCATATATACATAGATATTCTTAGTTATTAGTTGAAAACTATTATGTTCAACTCTACCTTGTATAAATTTTTATTCTACATGATAAATTGTTAATAAAAAAATCTACTCTATGATAAAATTTTGCGAAGTAAAATGGATTGATTTTGTATCAATTAATCGTGTCGTAATAAAGTTACAGCCTTCTGAAAAACCATGCGACGATCTATCCAACATAACGTATGGCTTCCAGAAATGTTTGGAAAAGGAACCGCAATAGAACTGAGAAATGCGTCCAGACCACATCTGAAGAAATTTTGACAATGCAGGAATAAACTAAAAAGGATCATTCTCTCATGAGAAGCCGTACAGCAGAGTAATAGACCTGCCCCGTCTTCGAACGCTAAACACGTGCAGTCTTGAACAGTCTTGAACAGTATTAAACACTTCTAAACACTTTGAAAAAATTGCGAAATTCAACATTGAAACCATATAAAGTCTTTGTAAACAGTCTTAAACAGTTTTAAACACTTTTAACCACTTCAAAATTGAGCAGAATGAAACATCAAAACCTCATTAAACCTTATAAAACATTAATAAACAGTCTTAAATGGTCTTAAACACTTCTAAACATTTCAAAATTGAGCAGAGTTAAATATCAAAACGTACTAGTTGATTACCTTGTGATCATCTTTATATATAAAATATAGTAATGACATTAATTTACCTTTACAGATATCAGCAACTGCTCAACGCGTCGCCCAACCCACTGTCAAGCAGCATGACACGCATATTTATTTATTTATGTTATGTATGTCTATATTATACACATTTATGTTATATGTTTAATAATAAATAATATAAATAAATGAATATAGAAAATAAATGAGAATGATGAATAATAATGAGGTGTTAGTTGCAAGCAAGTTGTTAGGAAGATAGCGCCAAGATTCAAACCAAAAACTGGAATATTACTTGGTTTTATATTATATATATTATATATTCGTACAAGTGGTTTTATATAATATATAATCTTATATATATATAATTGTATAAAAAAAGAGCATTTATCTCCCCTTGAACGCATCCTGACTAGTTTTAGTTAATTTTTAAAGACCTGGCGTTCGATTTTCGCATATTTTTGAATATTTCCTGTTAATTCTTCGATATATTCACGCAAGCGGTTTGAATAAAAATATAATCACATATATAGAAATGTATAAAAAAAGATCATTTATCTCCCCTTGAATGCATCATGACTAGTTTTAGTAAATGTTTAGAGACCTGGCGTTCGATTTTCGCATATTTTTGAATATTTCCTGTTAATTCTTCGATATATTCGTACAATTGGTTTTATATAAGATATAATCTTATATATATAATTGTATATATAAAATTTAGTAACAGTACCGTTCCATAAACAGGGTTTCACTTTGGGCATAACTCTGCTCTATATCAACTCTAAGCATATATCGAA